CACCGTCCCGCCATAGTGAATTCCTTGTTTGTGCAAACTTACATGGCGATTAAAACCGTTTCTGATTCTGATTCTGAACACTCTGGGCGATTCTCAGCCAGAGTGAAATCGCCCAAAACGAGGCGGTACTCCACAGAACGTGACATGACGCTGATTGGACTATATCCAGAGGCACAGTGACGGCTGAGATTGGTGGTGCGTCGCCCAATCGCCCTAATGAAGAAACCGCCCCTGCTCCATTCACTCATTAATGGCGTGACAACGACAGCACAAATGGGTTAATGTGAGTGGGGGAAATAGATAGCAATGGTGACGTCACCAAGCGGCGTGGTGACGTCGCCGAGCGGCGTGGTGACGTCGCCGAGCGGCGTGGTGACGTCGCCGAGCGGCGTGGTGACGTCGCCGAGCGGCGTTGTGACGTCGCCGAGCGGCGTGGTGACGTCACCGAGCGGCGTGGTGACGTCATGCGCGTTCAATAACCGCGCGTGCGTATGAATGTGAAACAACAACGCAGGTGAAATAAGCAGTGGGTGGGGGGTGCTGTGATTGAGTGGCACGGGGATCGCCAGTCTCGGTAAAGTTGAGAGACGGTGACATCCCCAGCAGTGGGTGACGGAGGCAGGTAGAGTTGGTGAGAGATTCACGCTGCAAGGAAAAGGCTCATTCAGACGCTGTCTTTCCGACAGACCTGTTCTTCACCTGAGGACGGCTGCTTGCGTTGTGGCCAAAACGTCGTGAGAATTGTATTTTATAATGTTTTATTTTATTATTTTATTATTTCCCTTCTACGTGATGACTTTACCGAAAGAACCAAGAAGATGATTCCCTGCAGTCACGAAAGCTTTAAATCGAAATTCCAGGATGGGTCACAGGAGTCTAGAGGCAAATTCCATATCGGATGCCACAATGACATTTAAGTAACCCGTCAGGTTGGGGGTAATTACACTGAGATGGAGTTACAGAACATCATGAGATATCTACAACTACACCAACTACTTTTATTTGACCAGGTAAAACCCACTCAGCTATGTAGCTCTTTTTCAGAAGCAACCTGGCATAAATTGTAGCACAATGAAGTGGCTTATCACGTGGAAATGTATTGTCGCCGAGTACTCTTAAACATTGTAGATTTGAAGACGGAAGCTTGTGTTGCCTCCGAAACGTCGTGATTTTTTTTATTTTATTTTACTTTTATTAATTTTAATTTTTAAAAAATCCTTTATATTAAGTTCACTTGCTTGCTTGCTTACGACCGTGCAAATCTTTCGGTCGTTTTTTAACCCACTTCCCGTGATCCAATCGAGCAAGCACGCAAGCAAGCAAGCAAGTGAACTTAATATAAAGGATAAAAAAAAAACGCATTTCTTTAAGTGTTTTTTTTCTTTTCACGTCGTTTTTTTAAAGTGTAGGTTCCTTTGATATATTATGTTAATTAAAGTAAAATCCCAACATGTGTGTACAGTAGCCGTGTGCATTGTGTTTGTGCACATATGATGCAGGTTCACATTCCAGGCAGTGTCTCATAATGTCAATAACGACAATGCATTTTTTAAAAGTATTTTCACTTCCTTCTTTACCGTCGCTATAAGAGAAAGGTCATGGTCAAGCGTCTCTCTGAGCAACACAGCGAACTGTCCGAGTGAAGCCAACCACCCTTGCCCTGAGCCTGTTTATTCCACTCCAATAACTCATTGCTCCCAGCATGCGCTGCTGCTCCATTGCAGTGTTCGTTAATGGGTCTCTACAATCACTACGAGACCTCCTTTACCAGTGGCAAAATATAGTAGTAGGTTTTTACCCTTTAAACTGGTACAAACTGACACCTTTATACAAGGCATCATGTTTGCAATAACCGCAACACAAGCAGTCAAAATGCAAAGAAAAAGAAACAACTTTGATAATGGTAATGATATGCACTGTCCTTGAAGTTGATTGGTCCACACCCGAGACAGCTTTTCTTAGAGCCTAGTCTCCATTGGTGTTGGACCAGATGACGCCAAAAGGCGGACAACTCAAAGACAGCGCACTATCAGAGTATTGAGAGCTCGGGTTAAGCATTTACACTGAGACCTCCTTTACCAGTGGCAAAATATAGTAGTAGGTTTTTACCCATTAAACTGGTACAAACTGACACTTTTATACAAGTCATCATGTTTGCAATAACCGCAACACAAGCAGTCAAAATGCAAACAAAAAGAAACAACTCTGATGATGATAATGATATATTTTGACTGCTTGTGTTGCGGTTATTGCAAACATGATGCCTTGTATAAAGGTGTCAGTTTGTACCAGTTTAAAGGGTCTCTACAAGTCTACGGGTTCCTCTGAGTGGGTATTGGAGACTCGTTCTGTTCTATGGGTCTCTTGTACGTGTGGGTGTCTACGTCAGTCTAGGTTGGTGGCTACTCGTAGCCTCTATACCCACAATATCTGGAACTATTCAGGCAACTTCACCTGTCACCTGCCTAATATATTGTTAGAACCTCATATTCTTAGGTTTTTTTCGGTAAAGTCACGTAGGTAAATTTTTTAAAATAAAAATAAAATAAAAATCACGACGTTTCGGAGGCAACACAAGCTTCCGTCTTCAGGTGGAACCATCACAGCACGACTGCTGTATCAAGTGAGAGAAATTCCAAGAAACAGTCCTTGTATATATACTGGTTGAGGGTGGGAGGAGCCAAGGTAGGCCTTGGATATTATTTTTGTGAGGTTCGGTGCGGCTGAAGCACGCTGTTAAGAATGAGCCTTTGTTGTGTAAACTAGGTGTTGAGTGAGTGAGTGGGTGAGTAGGTGAGTGAGTGAGTGGGTGAGTAGATGAGTGGGTGAGTAGGTGAGTGAGTGAGTGGGTGAGTAGATGAGTTGGTGGGTGAGTGAGTGAGTGGGTGAGTGAGTGAGTGGGTGAGTAGGTGAGTGAGTGAGTGGGTGAGTAGATGAGTTGGTGGGTGAGTGAGTGAGTGAGTGGGTGAGTGAGTGAGTGGGTGAGTGAGTGAGTGGGTGGGTGAGTAGGTGAGTGAGTGAGTGGGTGAGTAGATGACTGGGTGAGTGAGTGAGTGGGTGGGTGAGTGAGTGCGGATGAAGCACGCTGTTAGGAATGAGCCTTTGTTGTGTAAACTAGTTGCGGATGATGTTAGAACCTCCCTCATCAACTCTGCCTCGGTAACCCCCTTGATTTATTTCTGATCGCCAATAGGTGGGTACATTCTAGATTTGAAGCTTTCGTGACTGCAAGGATTCATACTCTTAGGTTTTTTCGGTAAAGTCACGTAGGTAAAAAATAAAATTACCAAAAGTAGTAATAGAAATAAAATAAAATAAAAAAAATATTTTATTATTTTATTTTATTTATATTATAGAAATAATATAAAATGTACATTTTTTTAAATTTATATTATAGAAATAAAATAAAATGTACATTTATTTTATTATTTTATATTATTACTTTCAGTAATACCTACGTGACTTTACCGAAAAAAACCTAAGAGTATAGTTGGGTACATGAATAGGCATTCAAAGTTGAACCTGTCGAGAACTGTAGAGACCAGAATGTGTCTAATCTGCAAGCTTAAACTGGTGCAGGAGTCTGACAGCAGCAGGCGATGATTGCAGCTGCACAATTGAGATAACATCTCGCCAAGGTGGTAGCCAGGTTGCTTCTGACAAAGAGCCACACAGCACAGTGAGCCTTACCTGGTAACATTCAAAAGAGTTTGTGTTGTTGTAGATATCTCAGGTCCGGGTAATTCCCCCAATGCACCAACTTGCTTTAATGTCATCGTGGCATCTGAGATGGAATTTGTCTGCAGACCTTACTTAGTAAATAAAAAATTGTATAAATTTGCGGTGTCATTTTTGGAATTTGGATAGTGACACTCGTCCGAGGATGGTGAACGTCTACTGTGCAGTAGACAGAGCAGTGGCGGTGACAGCACCCGCAGTCGTGGAACTGCAGAAACGAAGTGGCAAGCACTGCCACAAGGCCACCTCGATGCTCCAAAACGTGGGCCAATCGAACTTTATCCTACTTTTCGATTTAAAGATTTCGTGACTGCATGGATTCATCTTTTTGGTTCTTTCCACGACCCAATGGGAGAGAAAGACGAAAACTTTAAATACAAAGCAGCCGTAAGTCGAACAAGGTAACATCTCATAGCCACGGTCGGTGGTACCCAATCGATAGCTCTGTCTTAGCATAGACACCAACTTGTGCGCTGAGCTCTGCAAGGACGAGTTTATCTCTCGATACTCATCTCATGAATGAGCCACCGCAGCTGAGCCTCACCGATTTATATTAACACTCATTTTATAAAAAGAATATATTTGTTAAAATATTAGATTCCTTTGATGCATTTTGTTCACGTCAGGGTGTGTAGAGTAGCCTAGTTCATACTCTTAGTTTTTTCGGTAAAGTCACGTAGGTAAAAAATAAAATTAAAATAATAAAAATCACGACGTTTCGGAGGCAACACAAGTCTCCGTCATCAGGTGGGACCGTCACAGCCAGATTTTCTACGTGACTTTACCGAAAAATCTAAGAGTATGAATCCTTGCAGTCACGAAAGCTTCAAATCTATAATAGCCTAGTTCACTCTAGATTTTAAGCTTTCGTGACTGCAAGGATTCATATTCTTAGGTTTTTTCGGTAAAGTCACCATGTAGGTAAAAAAAAATTAAATTTATAAAAGTAAAATAAAAAATAAAATAAAAATCACGACGTTTCGGAGGCAACACAAGCTTCCGTCTTCAGGTGGAACTGTCACAGCACGATAGCTGTATCAAGCTATCGTGCTGTTACTTTAATTATTTTTAATTTAACTTTTATTTAACTTTTATGAATTTTTATTGTTTTGCCTAGTTCACCTTGAGGCTGATGTTTGTGCACCTTGGGCGCGGGTTCACATTCCGGGCATTGTGTCTCGTCATGTCAGTGACGACAATGAAAATATTTAAAGTATTTTACTTCCTTCTTCACCGTCGATATAAGAGAGAGAGAGGTCCTGGTCCAGCGTCTCTCTGAGCCATACAGCGAGCGATCCCAGCAGAGCCCATGAGCCATGGCGAGCGCGACTCCCAGTGAGAGTGTGGACAGTGAGCTGCGCTGCTCCATCTGCCTGGGCACGTTCGTCTGCCCCTCCACGCTGAGCTGCGGACACTCGTTCTGCCTGTGGTGCCTGGAGGCCGCCTGGGAGACGGCGAGCAGCTTCAGCTGCCCGCAGTGCCGAGCGACCTTCCCTGTGCGACCCCAGCTGAGGAGGAACGTGGCCCTCGCCAACCTGGCCGAGCAGCTCAGAGTTGGAGACGGGATGGCCACGGCCGTCGTGTGTGACAACTGCAGTGATGGCCACACTCCTGCAGTGAAGACCTGCCTGAAATGCGAGATGTCCTTCTGTGCGACGCACTTGAAGCCTCACTTGGAGAATCCCAGGTTGAGAGGCCACGCTGTGGTGGAGCCCAATGCGAGATTGGACAAGAGAAGATGCCCTAATCACAGCAGGGAGCTGGAGTTCTACTGCACAGTAGACAGCGGCCTGCTCTGCTCAGCTTGCACTATCGCAGGTGAACACACAGGGCACGAGGTGCTGACGCTGCAGGACGAGCACGAGACACGGAAGGTGAGGCCCTCAGAGCGAGAAACCGTAACACGATCTTATTCTTAGGTTTTTTCGGTAAAGTCACGTAGGTAAAACATCAAAAATAATAAAAATAACGACGTTTCGGAGGCAACACAAGTCTCCGTCATCAGGTGGGACACACGATCTCACCAATTCTCTCACTCAGCTGCACATCTGATGACAACAAAAAACTATCGTGTGTTCATGTTCTCCATTTTGAATCTCACTCTGCCTTTGCATTTCAGGAAAGTGCCTCAGAATGTATTGAATCCTAGGGTTTCATTAAACACTAGCAGGAAGTACCCGAACAAGTAAACCCGTAAAAACAAAGTTTTTCACTCTAAATCCTTTATATGCGTGGCGGCTAGAGTTCTCTCGTCCTCTGGCTTGAGATGGCTGCAATCTATGGGTCAGATGATTGTCTGCCAGTATTAAGCAATTGGTAATAAAATATTTAATTAGTTTTCCCTAAACAGTGTAACATTTTGGAGAAAAAAAATTCACGAAAATTAATTGTCACACACAACGAGTCTGTGTGGAAAATGTCAGCTCAATTGGATCACGGGAAGTGGGTTAAAAAACGAGCGAAAGATTTGCACGGGTTAAGCAAGCAAGCGAACTTAATATAAAGGATTTAAAAATATATTCGCCTGTGGAGGACGCGGGGATCGGTCCCGCGACCTTTGGCATGGGAAGCGAGGGCGCTACCAACTGCGCTACTCCGCCACGGCCTGTGGAGGGGTTACGCTCTGGGCTCTTACACTCTGACGTTCAGCCAAAGCCATGAATGCGTTCTATTTGAATATATGTAAAATACATTTTTTTTGCCTAAAAAGTGTAACATTTTGGGAATATTTTTTCACGAACATTAATTGTCTGGCACAACGAGTCTGTGTGGAAAATGTCAGCTCGATTGGATCACGGGAAGTGGGTTAAAAAACGACCGAAAGATTTGCACGGTCCTAAGCAAGCAAGCAAGCACGCGAACTTAATATAAAGGATTTAAAAAGGAATAGCGCTTGCTGACCGCGGGGCTTACGGTGTGGTGCCTGGCTATTTTTTTTTACGTTAACCCCACATTCCGTCTTCAGTTGGAACCGTTACAGCCAAACTTTGGCTGTAACGGTTCCACCTGAAGACGGAAGCTTGTTTTGCCTCCGAAACGTCGTGATTGAATTTAGTTGTTTTCATTTATTTTATTTTTTACCTACGTGACTTTACCGAAAAAAAACAGAGTATGTTAACCCCACCGTTGGAGTGCCAAGCGCGCGACCACACACGAACCCACAATTTTTTACTTTTATATAGATAGATAGACAATTGCTGTATAAAGTAATTAAGTGGGCAGATATTTGAGACTGATATCACAGCCAGCCGAGAAACAATTCTAGTAGATGTATCTTCTAAACGAGACAGCTGTGGTCATCTGGTCGAACACCATATGAGACTAGGCTCCAAAGAAAGCTGTCTCTGGTGTGGACCAATCAGTTTCAAAGACAATGCATACATTATCAGAGTTGTGTTTTTTGTTTGCATTTGACTGCAAGTATTGTGGTTAATGTAAGCATGATTCCTTGCAAAAGGTGTCAATTTTGTTGCCAGAAAAAAGGGGAAACCCCTATTAGTATATTTTGGTACTGGCAAAGGAGGTCCCATGATATTAGTATTAGAGACAGCTGTGGTCACGTGGGCCCGTGTGTCCGAGACGGTAGGGACACCAAGCCAGCACGGCTCCCACTGGCTGCTGCTACAACGAGGCATCAGCTTGCCCCCTCCCCGTGCCCACCGCTTCAGTCGCCGCACAGAGGCAGCATGGAGATGAAAGCCTTCACTGTGGAGGGGTCCATCTTCTTGGTTCTTTCGGTAAAGTCATCACGTAGAAGGGAAATAATGAAATAATAAAATTAATTCTTCTTTTGTTCTTTCGGTTAAGTCACGTCTAAAGATAAAATAATAAATTAAAATATTATTTTATCTTTAGACGTGACTTAACCGAAAGAACCAAAGAATAATTCCTGCAGTCACGAAAGCTCCAAAATTAAGATTAATAAAAATAAAACATAATAAGATAATTCTCACGACGTTTCGGCCACAACGCAAGCAGCCGTCCTCAGGTGAAGAACAGGTCTGTTGAGAAGACAGCGTCTGAATGATACACCACCAGGCTTGGCAGCGTATATTTAAGCTGCTGGGTTGGAGGGGGAAGAGCGCCTTGACAAAATAATTTGCATACCGAAAGAACCAAGAAGATATCTCTCTTCTTGGTTCTTTCGGTAAAGTCACGTAGAAGGGAAATAATAAAATAATAAAAATAAAACATAATAAAATACAATTCTCACGACGTTTCGGCCACAACGCAAGCAGCCGTCCTCAGGCGAAGACCAGGTCTGTCGGAAAGACAGCGTCTGAATGAGCACCACCAAGCTTGGCAGCGTATATACTTAAATATATACTTAAATATACGCTGCCAAGCTTGGTGGTGTTCAGAAGAACGGGGCTGTCGGAAAGACAGCGTCTGAATGAGCACCACCAGGCTTGGCAGCGTATATTTAAGCTGCTGGGTTAGAAGGAGGAAGAGCGCCTTGACAAAATAATTTGCATATCAAGAGGAATTTAGCATATTTATGGGAAATGTGGAGGGGTCGTTGTGGAGGGAAGGGCGCTGTGAGGGGTGTCTCAGGGGGCTGGAGTCTCCCCCTGGTGACGTCTCGTCTCTCACTACAGACGCGCATAGGGGAGGAGACGCGAGCGGTGGAGGAGAAGAGGAAGAAGGCGGAGGAGTCCGTGAAGCGGATGGAGGCCGCACGCAAGGGGGCGCAGGTACCGTGTCCGGGTCTCGCTCTTTGGCCCCCGTGACCTCCACCCGGCACGGAAGTCGTGAAGGTCAAAATGTTATTCAAGTAAACTTTTGCGCAAGCAGCTGCAGCTTCATAACTTTGATGCCTCTCATACTCTGATGGTGCATTGTCTTTGAGTTGTGCGCCTTTTGGCATCATCTGGTCCAACCCATGTGAGACTAGGCTCTAAGGAAAGCTGTCTCGGGTGTGGACCAATCAACTTCAAGGACAGTGCATACATTATCAGAGTTATGTTTTTTGTTTGCATTACGACTGCAGGTATTGTGGTCTATGTAAACATGACTCCTTGTAAAAAGGTGTCAGTTTTGTTGCCAGATAGAAGGGTAAAAAACAATTATAATTTGATGCCTCTTCTTGATTCTTTCGGTAAAGTCACGTAGAAGGGAAGTAATGAAATAATAAAAATAAAACATAATAAAATAATTGTCCTGAGGACGGCTGCTTGCGTTGTGGTCGAAACGTCGTGAGAATTATGTTATTATGTTTTATTTTTATTATTTTATTATTTCCCTTCTACGTGACTTTACCGAAAGAACCAAGAAGATTAATCTCTGCAGTCACGAAAGCTTTAAATCGAAACTTTGATGCCTCTTAACTATATCATTTACTTTGGAACTCAACATTAACTACAAGGGGATTGCACGTTTACGATAACCGCATTGGCGAGTCTGACACGAGGTCGGCTTACTCGGCATTGCGTCTTCCACTCCTGTAGCAAAACAAACACGTTCCTTCGGAGTGGGCAGGTAGGAACTTGGTTGGACAGCGCATTCGTGCACGACAGACAGACAAATAATCCCTGGTGGGCAAGTGTGGAACCTGTTGTTCCTCTACCTGTGTACAAGCTTACGTGACTTGAGGTAGTCAGGCAGACAGCCCCCTCCACTATCGGCCCCTCCCCCTCCCTTAGGCCCCTCCCCTGACCCCCCCTCCCCTAGGCCCCTCCCCCGACCCCCCCATATCCTTAGGCCCCTCCCCTGAACCCCCCCCTCCCTTAGGCCCCTCCCCTTACCCCCCCTCCGTTAGGCCCCTCCCCTTACCCCCCCTCCCTTAGGCCCCGCCCCCGACCCCCCCCTCCCTTAGGCCCCTCCCCTTACCCCCCCTCCCTTAGGCCCCTCCCCTTACCCCCCCCCTCCGTTAGGCCCCTCCCCCGACCCCCCCCCCCCTCCCTTAGGCCCCTCCCCTTACCCCCCCTCCATTAGGCCCTTCCCCTTACCCCCCCCTCCCTTAGGCCCCTCCCCCGACCCCCCCCTCCCTTAGGCCCCTCCCCCCTTAGGCCCCTCCCCTGACCCCCCCATATCCTCAGGCCCCTCCCCTGACCCCCCTTCACTTAGGCCCCTCCCCTCTCCGTACCCGGAAGTAGGTCTCCACCAATCAAAGAGCTGTGTGTATTATATATTTATTTATGCACGACAGACAGTCAGACAGACAAATAATCCCTGGTGGAAGTAATCTATATATATAAAATCGTTCATGTCTGTCTGTCTGTGTGTGTGTGTGTGTATTTCGGCCCATACGCACTTTCATTGGACGGCGGTTGCCCCTGGCAACGGCTAGCCACGCCTTCGCCGCTTTCATTGGACCTGGCAACGGCTAGCGACGCCTTCGCCAAGGGCTGCAGTTTCATTGGACGGCGGTTGCTTCTGCCAACGGCTAGCCACGCCTTCGCCACTTTCATAAGCTCCG